CACAAAAGCTGCACAGGAATGTGACTATAAAAAATAAAATTTATCAGATCGAACCCAAAATAAAATCTTACTTGTCACTTATGTGTCAAGCCAACCCTGAAACGATATATGTTAGTCTGTTTTTCATATGTTCCCCCAAAAACTTGATTATTCAACAGATTATCATAATTAATATGTGTCTTTATATTTGAAATAAGCATTTAACTTGCTAGTTTTTAGTGATCTATTCCAGGGTCACTAAAATAATATTGTGGACAATAAATCAGTGTCTGATATCGCATATTTATTTATTGTTAAATAGGAGATAGGAGCTTTTGTTAGTTGTTTGAAATGCAAATCGCATAAAAATAAAAAAAAATTACTTACGTAATTTCTTAATATGATACGATGATTATTTAAACAAATTTTGAATAAATCCTAATAGAAAACCGTAGCAAACTAATTTAAGTTTTATAATTTAGCACTTTAAAACTCATTTTTTTCAGTATATTAAGTTGTTACTATTTTATCAAGTCATACCTTGGTTACCCAAGTTAACAACACCTTAATAGGAATGAGGGGTTTGGGGTCATCACCAATCATTCATAACATTTATTAATATTAATAGTTAGCACGATTATACAAGATACATTGCTTAAATATATGGAAAAATGTTTTTTTCGTGGTATTTTAAAAGTACATGTACTCGTACACTTTTTAATTTTTAGCAATTTTTATTTTTAACAAAAGTGAATATTCGTTGCTAAAGTTCAATAAATAATTCTTGTTTGAAACCATTGAATATTGTTATCTTAAGATCGTTTGAATACATTATATTAAGTGCCAATTAATATTATTGTCTTGAAATACTTATCGTTTAACCTCAAACATGCTAATAGGTATAAAACCTCTAAATGTTTGTATTAATTAACAATTAGTACAACTCGGTAAATAACTTACTAGTGAATTTTATGATATATGTTCAACAAGTCATAGCAATGTTATGGAAGATAATTCGAATCTTAGAAAGTTCAAATACAGTTCAAATGCTATGTTTTGTTTACCTCGGGATTGATAACAACAACGGATTCAAACGATTGAGAACTCGTTCTACAGGAAGCGTTTGCCAATTATCTGTACCAATCAAACCTAATTATGATATATCACTAAACGTGATATCACTGTGAAGATTATAAATTGTTTTGTAGATGATATTTGTACTTTTGAGTGTAAAACGGACATGCAAAGCTGTAAAGAATTTTTATCGCACCTATGAAACAATAACCAATGATTGGAGTTGATATAAAAGAATTAAGTTTGTGAACCAAGGATTGTAGGTTCGAGCTTCATTTAGATGCATGGACTAACATCAGCACATCTGTTAGTTCAATTATGCGTCGCAATCATTTTGAAATTAAAAGTTAATGAACTAAACCCAAAACGTAAAGAAGAGCAGTCCGAGGAGCAGCGCGTTCAACTTTAGTTCGATAAAAGCAAAGTAAAAAAGGGGACATTATTTTGAAAAACTGCAGAATTATTTGCCTTTGATCGTCAACAATTATTACTTATTTGAAGCGATTATCTTTTAGAAATAGTTTTTAGAAATTAACAAAGATATAAAAAGGGAGTTTATTAAGCAAAAAGGTCTTTCAGGATGACCTGTTAAGAATGATTTTATAATTAAGTGACTATCTTTGAGACATTTACCTTATCACAAAAGGTTGTTAACCAGGGTAAAAAAGCTATCTCAAAAAGAAGAATAACTTTGAAAGATCTAGCTAAAGGGCTATCTGTCCTTGGCATCACTTTTTATACAAGTATGAAGTGGACAGCGTTAGAAGTTTCTGGATAAATAGACATTAACCTATTACAGGTAACAGTGACCTAGACCTTTGACCTTTAACCGTCAAGTAGAAATCATCAAGTTGTATTTACATATTGCAATTCAAGTGTATAGCAATTGTTTGTAATCAAGGTAATAACCATAAACAAAAACTTAGCAGGAAGGTTAACCAACGCCAACACCGACGAGTGGGTCATGATAATACTTCGACCTTTTTTCTTTGAAAAGTGATTTTACAAACAAAGAATGTTAAAATATTATTATTAAATATAACTGTACTTTTCTCCTTGCTAATCGAAATACTGTTTTATGTAAAAAGCATAACCGAATTTTAGAGTTTCTCTAATTTTCACGACGTATTAACCCTAATTATACCCAATAAACTCAAATTCAATTAGATAAATCAGGAAAACAGCTTATTATCATAATTACAAAGAAATAAAATATATATTATGTAACGACATCCTGTGAACAATCTGAGTGCTTTCGCCTCATAAATTCAATTAAGAAGATTAACAGATGATTCTTTCCTGTTTTATCACTTGCTTTTGCAATAACCTGTAGTTATCCATATTTTTACAATAAGAATTTGGTATTTTGTTTTGATTTTATCAACTTTTATAAGCCATATTTTTTTATTTTTTCAACAAAATAATTATGTAAGCATATGTCTTGCTTTGTTGTAAAATTTATATTTAACTAATCAGATGAGATAAGTAAATTTTTGGCTACGTGTTGTAACCATGAATTTCTTAACTCATTACTAATGTTAAAATAATGATTTCATTTTGGTCAAATAGCCAGATCTGTTTAATCATCGATATCTCAACACTCACAATAAAAAGAAACATCACATCACCTAGGATTAGCTAAAAATGTAAACCAAAGTATACAATTATCACAATAACATTTACGAAATTGTTTTAAATAAAAGAAATTGTCCATTTTTTAATCTAGACAAATAAAACATTCACCAAGTTTAGGGATAATTACAGAATTAGTGCTGAAGTCACTCAATAGTGACCAGTGTAGACCCTTATCAGACGGCATGTGTGTTTGGGCTGATCTTGGTCTTCACTGGTCGCATGGGTAAACCAAGTTGCTGCCAGCAGGCTAAAAGTAAATGTATAAATAAGGAATTTAGAAGAAGCAGCTCTTTTGTATGTATATCTTAAAATAAATATGTCAAGCCATTTTCTTTTGCTTGTGCCTGTAATAATTTAGGTACACATCCAGATATACACAAGTACGAGGAATTAGCTACAATTGATAAAGCATGTAATACACTTTTAATGAAACTGATTTCGACATATCTGACCTACGGTTTCTACAATGTAAGGTTCATACAAGAGTCAAAACATGTTTTGTTTTTATGCAAAGATCAATTTCTACTAATGCTTTCAGCAATAATAAAATCATATCTACTTTATCAATATATCTGCTTACTAAACCATAATACAGTTTTAACCTGAAAGCATGCATTACCATAGTGAGTACAGTAATGCCCAGGAACCACTTTGTTTCAGTTTTTATTTTATTTAAAAAAGCTGTGCGTAGTTTTTCAAATGTGTTTAAGACCATAAAGGTGATATTGTAAATTGTAAATATTATATAGACGTTTCAAGTTATTCTGTCATTGACAATAAGTGAAAGTATATACTGTTTTTTCTTACATCTTATAAGATATAACGAATGAATTATACCGTTTGTGCCATGTGATGTACGCCATTGGACCCAATCCTATCGGTCATTATACATATTATTTTCAACATTATCTTTTTATGGAATATTTGTTAAGTTCGATAATGGTGCAGTCAACAATTTATGCTTTTATATGTCATTTTAAAGACTTGAGTAATATGTTTAACAAGCATATATTGTTGACATACTTATAAAGTCAGTTCGCTTAGTGCAGTAAGGAGAACACCAGACTTGTGATCCAGAAGTCGCTGGTTCGATGCTGGTTCGATGCTCTTTATGGTAAGTTGTCTCTAACAACTGTTCAAATTAGGTAAGTTGTCGGTCACTTGCAAAACGATTGGTAATTGCTGGTTGATTTTCCAGTTTGGCTGACTACGTCATGTTGTCTAAGGATTCAAAATTTAAACCATGCTGTCAGGTATTTACAACTTTTGGCTATGTTTTGACATAACATTTCGGAAAATAAATAAACAATTGTTGAAATTAATAATTTATTTTCAAAAATAAATCATCAGTAAAATATGCTGCCCTATCAGAGTCTGAAATATATTTAAATAAATAACAGTGCAATTTAACAGGTGACTTAATTGTAATATATATTAAAATTCATGCTTATCAGTTTAAATATAGTTTTCTTTCAAGACCACAAAGTAATAAATAGTTACAAAAAACATTGAGCTTTCATAATAAACTTGAGTTTTCATTTAAAGCGATAAGAGAAGAGAATCTTTGTTAAAAACTCTGTCTTTATGATTTAAAAAAAACAACAAAAAACAATTTAACGCGCAGTTCATAACAATTTCTTGGTGACAATAAAATCCCGTGTCCGGAATATTGGCAAATTCATGCTGGATACTGAAGAAATATATGAATTAAATTGTTTAATATGAAAACACTAAAAAATACAAATAAAAATTATTTAATCTGAACAGAGGTTACGTATTATAACGTATGTTTTCATATTTAAGAAAAAATATGACCATATCCTTTGTATTTATCTTTTTTATACATACTAAAAATAAACCTATGTAACAAATATGTAAAAAACTATTTGCAAACAGATTTTGAAGAAGAGAAAAGTATGCAAAAAGGTTTTTAGAGAAAACAATTGTTTATGAACAATTATTTGCAAAATACTTTTACAGGACTCCATATAGTAGTGATAATGAAATGAAAGGCCTGTGGAATTATTGTAGTATATTTCAAACAAAATGTATAAAATAAAATGAAAAAATAAATAAAATAAAACCACTTAATAGTTTATCTATACACTGGAGTAAAATCATTGTCATTTGAAATAAGTGATCGTTAAATATAATTCAATTAAATGCATGTTGTAAAATCACTCCATGTAGTATTGGTTGGAGATAACGATATATCATTAGTTATATGACAGGTTATATAAGCCTATATAAATATTTGTTATCGGGTCGTCTGACGAGGGTTATATTGCAAGCAACCGTTTTTCATGGCCATATTATCTGTCAAAAATCTATATAACGAATTTTTTATACATCAACCTTCCTATATTTGAAAAGAAACATGAAATAATTTCATAAACTGACAGCAGCCGTGCATAAAGTTTATATAACCGTCACGACTATCCAATGAAAAGCGACGTTACAAACGTGCAGTATCATGAAGATGACATCGTTATCATATTAACAATTCTATCATTTACAATAACATCAAATATAAAACCCTACTTCTTTTTATTCTTCACACCTCAGCTTGCTTATTGCAAACTCTTTTCTTGACGATTTGTTGGCACAACATACATAATGCAAACTGTTCTTCAACTGTTACTGTCTCATTCTTGTTACTTTAGAAAAAAATAACGTTCTTTTGTAAATTATCCCTCATTTTACATCACTTTCAAACATATTTTCTGGACCGACGTCGTGCCAAATACGAATAAGTTCACATATATCTTTTCTTGATTTCGATTCTATCTGCAAATGAGCTTTCAACATATCAAGGATTTCTGAATTGATTGTTGCGTTTAACATTTCAGCTTGTTTATGTACAAATATTTCCCAAGAGTTGTTCGTCTGTTCCTGTAGGACATCTTGATGGAACCCGCTGAATGGAATAGTTTGAAAGAGAATAAACAATAATGTGACACCAAGACTCCAGATGTCCGCTGGTTTCGGAAGGAATGGCTTTTGTGACAATACTTCTGGAGGAAGATAGGACGGTCGTCCAAGAAAATCTGTGCACAGTAGTGGTTTGTCTTCCTCTGAAAAACATGCATAGACCATTGGCAGATTTCCTATAAACATATACACGTATTACTATATTACTAATGTTCTATGTACATATTTAGAATCTTGATTATAATTTAGATCAAGTATTAAAGATGTTATCAAATTAGATTATGTGTTATTCTTAAACCATATTAATAATAAATATACGCCTAACTATATGAGAGTTTTATCGCTTACATTTGTACAATTAATGAAACTTTAGAAGCAAACCACAAGGAACAACAGGTGGGTCAATTGTTGTTTTGTTACAGTTGTTGTTTAAATAAAAGTGTTTATATTGTTATATGATTAAAAAACAGTTAACGTTATGAACATACATTTGTTTATTACAATTTGCATAAGTACTTTACTTTATTACTTTACGTTTATCATTTTACGTCTAGATCTAAGTGCGTAAAAATGATGCAATCATGAAACTGTAATGATTCGGAAATTAATTAGAAAAAAAACAACATATTTTTTTCTAGAAAGAACAGTGGATTGGTAAATGCAAACATAAGCAATATAGTCGAATGAAATTAAAGTTATTGGAATCTCTAAATAGTTACAAATACTACAATCAAACTTTGATACTGCTTAAACGATCCAATTATAAACCTATTGGTAGATAGAAAACGCTATCTCTGTGGAAGATCGACAAAACCTGGGAAATAATTTATCTAGTAACACTTTATTTTATATGATGGTTCTGATGAAATGATAAAAACTGAGTAATTTATTGCCGAATCCTGATAGTTTTACAAGTTTTTATTTCTTGCGGTTAAGTCTAGAAAATACTATAGTATTTGAGAGGGTTTAGATACATATAGAAGGAAGAAAGTAATGAAGACATTTTGCGACTTATGTCGTTTGACAATTTAAAAAAACACACCTTGTATTAGTTAATTCTGAGTGCAACTTATAAAACGTACGATAGATCTAAATTTTTACATCCACTGAATATTTATTTATTATATTTTGTACCAACAAAAAAATCTTTTTCATGAAATAGTTTAAATGCGTCACTAAATTTATGCTAACCAGTTAAATACTGAGTTTTATAAGTTAAATTAAAATCCATATTTTTTGTTTGCGTGCATAACGTTCGCGCAGTCGTTTAACATCTGACGTCATTTGTGTCTATTTCCAACAATTCAATGAAAAAATGAAGAAAAGTAAAGAAATATTTTTTTTTAATTTAAGGCATTAGAAAAAGAAATTTATAAGTTTTCGTAAATTGTCAAAATAAGAAATTGTCATCATTTTCACTCTTGCACGGCGCTCCTGAATATAATTTGCAATTTCTTCACTTCTCAGTTTGATATATTTAATCACAACACTTAAATATCCTAATTCTATTTCAAGTAATACGAGATAATTCACCAATTTTTATAGAAATTTTTAAAATGTATAAAAATTATTTCAAAATGTATACAAAATGATTTTTTTTTGCTTAATGATGTAGTTGGTTAAAGGTAACAACTAAGAAATTAACACAGGTAAAATCAATAAAAATGGACATATCATGTTTAAAGTGTATAAAGCTATACATTTGCAGTCTGGAGTTTCAACTGTTTTGTTTTCTTTTTGGCAAAGAATAATTCAAAATTACCTGTAAGAAAGAAACAATTTAAAATTTTCACTAAAGAGGAAATGACACATGCACGAAATCATTGTTAAATGGTTCAAATCCTACTTAAAATAATAGCCGGAATATTAGATATTCTGTTTTGATATAATATTTATGTTTATAAAAAAACGGGAACATTCTATGTTTCAACTTTTTCGAGAGTCTTCATACATATAATTCTTGTGGATGCCTTGTACAGTAAGAATAAATTCAGTTTAACAATTAAATTTTAAAGATATTCTTGATATTCTTGCTCGTTTCTTACCATCAAAACATTTGACTGCTAACCCGAAGTCTGTTATCTTAACAACAAGATCTTCTGTCAACAATATATTAGCCGGAGTCAAATCTCGGTGCGCGACATCCATAGCATGGCAAAACTTTACACCTTCAAGTATTTGTGAATATATTTTATATCTGTGATGGAATTCGAGGTTTTTGTTTGTACACATGTATCTCTCAATGTTTTCCTTCTCTGCATACTCCATGATGATCTCTATCTCACCAACGTCAACAATAATCTCATGCAAACGTATTATGTTTTTATGTTTCAGTCTTGTTAGACAATAAATTTCACTAATAATGTAGGGATCATCCTGAAAATTTCCCCGGAATCGTATTTGTTTCATCGCGTATATGTTTTTGTCTGTTTCACTTTTAACTTTTAAAATATCTCCAAAACTTCCGTAGTCAATCATATCAATAACTTCATAATCATCACAACTTTTTTCGATTTCCATTTTAAATGTTTTGTAAAAATTCGTCTTTAGAATTCAGATATTTTTAATTACAGTTCTTATCCGATTCAAACAGTTGTTAAAACAATCACCAAGTTACACATTTAAAAATGTTGGTATATTGCCCTGCGATTTGTTCCATAGTTATGCATTAAATGAAAATATTGCCAAAATATTCTCAGCAGTCTCATGGCACGTGCTCTCCAAGTTATCACGTGGTTTGCCAAAATATCTACTCTCCAATCACAGGTATCAGACATTGGTTCTGGCAGTACAATGTCTAACGAGATGGTAGAACTTAGATTTACGTTCAATTTGATTTTATGCGTGAAAATAGATCATAAAGCGTCTTTCTCTCTCACAGACGCTGGCTTTAACAACGCGGTTGGCAAATTATTATGTGATTATTATAGTAGTGCAATATTATTTGTTATCGTCTGCTGCAGACAATGTTTTATCTAATCATGTCTGTTTCCCTTTCACAATACCAAGAGAAAACTTATAAGCGAAACCATAACTTGCGCTTATCATCGCTCATTTTGAAATAAATTATATTTGTTCTAAAAATGATCATCAATCAATTTGAAAGCAACTAGATATGTTATCTTTTTACTTTTAATATAATAAACAATTTAGAATATAATTTTTTTTTATTCGTTAACATGGTTACAAATGACGACATTTACACACTTACGCTGTAGAGCATTATATCATTTTGTGATCATTTCCAACAAAAGGAAGCATATAAGAGTATAACGTGTGCGTACTTGATAAAATAATGGTCCAAATAAACGTTTTCCTCATTAAATTTTCTAACGCAACATTATTATTATTACAGTTTTATTTTATTAACGTATCTTTAATGTTGACTTATCAATGTTACTTCAAATTGTTATAACAATGTTAATAGACTTATTAAACAACATATATATTCATATTTTACAATAATTAACTACAAAAATCACGATTAAAATTAAGTTTTGCTTAAATTAATTTGTAAGCATTTGCAATAGAAATTCACTAGCTATGATTAATTCCAAAAATGCACTAACACATTTTACCATTTATATATTCTCAACTATTTAAGTGCATATAGTGCAGTATTTGGCCGTTCGATACCTTTCATATAATAACAATCAAAGAAATCAGTGAATGTAAAGGTACTCGAGGCCGTATTGGTAAATTATACAGGTAACTCTATCTAAGGTATACAATCAGCTGCGGATAATAAACAACAACGTCAAACATATTATAATCATTTTCATAGAATGTATGAACATTCAACGACAATGTTAAATAGACTCTTTATATCTTAACATCATAATATACTTGTGAAACGTTAAATAATCTTTACCTGTTTATAACTATTTCATACAGTGTAGATGTCAATCAGATCATTAAATACCTTACCAGACAACAATATGCTGTGAAAATTATAAAACCAGACAAGGGGACCCACTGGTTCACTGACGCAAACATTCTTAACGACTCATCAAATTACGTGGAAGTTCAATAACGGACATTGAACTCAATACAGGAGAACCGTTTTCTGTCAGTTGCGAATTTACGATATAATATTATATAAATAAAGTAAAATATTGATATATTATTATGTATTGTCTTTACCACAATGGTATATTTGTAAATGGCTAAAGGTTAATGTTTTTGCTAAATGCCAATAGATTTTGAACTATATTAATTTAATGTTAAACTGACGTCACTGAACATGATTACCAGGAATAACGCTACTTAAGCTACTAATATCCTAAACATTTATGAAAGAAAGCTATAAGGATGTTATAGATGGTGTTAATGTCAAATGCAATGTACAGTAGTGTGTAAATTCAGATGTTTCCAAATGTTAAAGATGTTAAAAGCTTAGACACACGTTTTGTCCATAAGAAAGATGTAAAGCAAAGTTTTGTGCATAAAATTATATCAATATAATTTCTTAAATTTAACGGCGCCTTATATACCATAACAAATAGTCAAATATAAATGCTTACATTTTTGCCTAGATAGTATCATTCATTTTTATTATACCACCCTATTGTAGATAACGTAGTTAAGCTTACATTGCCTTTCTTTTGCCATGCTTATTCTATTTCTTATATGTTAAAGTGTTGCGTTTTCAATGAAGTCTATGGCGGTACAATAGCACAAACAGACTATACAGCTAAAGTTTGTATGTACTGGAAAAGATTATCAGCATATCAACGAGTATATATTACGTCATAATTTTGGCAAATCAAAACCAATGAACGACAAGTCACCAGGAAATAACGTCACTTATGGGGGGCAAAAAATTAATCATAAAATTTCCCTTAAATTTAAAGGGCCCTATTACCAAAACTTTAAAATATAAACTTTCCCTTTTTGTAATAAAAAATTAATTTCATTTACCCCATTGTGAAATTATTAAAAGTTAAATTGTTTTTTTTTTTTGAGCTTTTTCATTTTTTATAGAAAAGGGGGGGTTTTTTTCAATATTAGGGCAAAGTAAAAACGATTTTATACGCAAATTTGAATTTACGGAAATTACGCATATAAACGAGTAACTTACTATAAGGGCAAATAAAACCAATCACAGTACCAAAAATAACGTCACTTTCACATTAAGTCCTACCTATTTAATGTGACATATATTTAAAGAAATATATCATAAATCAATTCATAACATCATGTTTTAAATGTCGTTTGTTTGTTGTTTCTTTTTCTAGTAGAATTACAATGGACGTTATTCATAGAAGAATTGTCACTTGTAATTTTCATTTTCGCACTTTGCCTTCGTTTACGCACTTTGTATTTATTATACCCGTTCAAAATGATATCTCATATTCTTCGTGCAGCATTATTTTAGTTAAAGTTTAATTCCCAGTAATATGACATGAGCAGCGCCATGACAAAACCAACATAGTGCGTTTGCGACCAGCATGGATCCAGGCAAGCCTGCGCATCCGCTCAGTCTGATCAGGATCCATGCTTTTAGCTTTCAGTTTCTCTACTTAAAATAGGGTTTGTAAGCGAACAGCATGGATCCTGATCAGAGTGCGCGGATGCGCAGGCTGGTCTAGATCCATGCTGGTCGCAAACGGTTTTGTCAAGGCGCGGCTCATTTATTATTAGTTATGTCATATTCTTTATGATGGACGGATTAAGTGAATATGATTCTTATTATACACCAAAACATTTAAACCTTTTTCGGGCACAAATCAAATATATTTATAAAATGCTATTATTCTATTACCATATTTCTCAAGTCATTTGCTATAGACATGATTTATAACTACTGATAACTAAAGTTAAGGTTGTTATTTCTGAATCCGTCGGGTGTTCAGGTGTAGATATAATCTCACCACAGGCTCTTTATCACATTAATTGTTTCTCTTTGCAAAATTGTGTTATTGAAAACTAGCGCATAATTGAATTTGTATGCACCTGACGAAACTTCTTTGATCCTGTTTATTCTAAAGCAAATTGAATGTTCTCTATATATTAGTAATCAAGCTAATGTCTTTAGACTTGATACCATAACATAATGCAACAACGGTGTCTTCTTTTTTCTTTTTAATATTACAATTACAAAAAAGCATTTTTCAGCATCATGAACATAATAATTTGGACAATAAGTCTACCGTTTGTGATATAAATAGGTATTACAATTTCATGTTCTCACAATGGTGGCCTCATTATTGAGTACATTTCGGTGAAAGACATTTTTTATTGCATTAATATTTTCTGAAACATTAAAGGAAGTGTAATATATTAATTAAATATGATCGTCAGGAAAGAAACATTTTTTCTTTTTTTTTCAGTGAAAATAATTTGCCGTTAATGATCTTAAAAGTTGATGATATTTTATAAATGCACTTTAATTACTTTTTCCCTATTTTTCTAAAACACAAAGTATCACGTTTTATAGCTTAATTTAGGTTTGTGGTATTTTTGAAATACACCTGTCAAAACAGAATAAAGAGATGAAATAACCAATAATTAATGAAATTTGTTGATTTTGTTGATTTTGAAAAGTTTTTATAAGACTCTAAAAGCTCAGAATAACAATTTTCATCATCTTTTTCTCTCTCAATTATAACATTCTAATCAGGTATATGGCTTCAAGCTAGGTAATCAACGCTTAATCAGTTATGTACCTGTCTATCATGTTAAAAGACTGTATAGAGGATAGCAGATGGTGTGTATACTTTATACATTGAATAAGATTAAAACGTTTATTGGTATGCCAATGTTCAATTCGTGAATGTACAGAATCGTTTTTTAGGATCAATTTTACACACTTTACTCTTTAATCTTTAACAATGCTTTAACTTTTGTAATTTTTTTTGTAACATCACAATTAAATCACGGATTTAGAACACTTTACATGTCTAATCTATATAGATTGTAAATGGTTTGCTCTCACTGTTTGTTTTTCAATGCTTATTCCTTGATGTAACACATTGTTATTTTACAATATATGGAATAATTGTATGTGAAATAATTTGTAGTTCTTTTACAAAATAATGACAATGCCACACAAGACAAATGCAAAATATGTTTGTGATAAGGTCATACGAATAAAAAAGTATTAAAATAATATCAAGTTAAACGACACATTAAAATATATAATTTATCTTAACGAAATGTTTTTTTTATTTCGGGAATCAAAACTAGTCACTGTAAATCATAAAGACATAAAAGTTCATAAAAGTAGTTTTATTAAGTAAACTTATACGAACCTAGGCCTGCACACGAACCATTAAGTATTCAAACATAGAAATTCGTTGAACATTTGAATTAAGAACTTTTACTTTATGTCAACAAACTATGCTTATTGTGAATGAATCATAAAAAGATAATCCTTTTAGAAAAAATAATTGGAGTGATGAACATATTATTGATATGCAAAATAAAAACAGACAATTTGACCAGTACATTTTCGAGTGTGGTTACAATCGGATTCTTATTAGATGTGAGGTTAACATTTTTTACTCTGTAGTGTGATAGAGGAAAGAAAGCATCAATACAAAATGGAATTGAGCATTCAGTATACAGTAGGTTATTTTAGTATTTGATATGGACAATTAGAAAAGAAAGGCCAACAAGTTTGCTATCCGCTGTCAAGTATAAAAACATGCCAATAAGATACAATAGATAAGGAACAGCAATCTTCTATTAAATCTAGTCAAAACCTCTGCTATAGTTTTAAAAACATTGACCATACCTAAGCCCGGATTTATATCTTAACTGTGTATTTCTTAATATT